TTCAATTATCACTCTATTTGTATTAAGCATAACTGAATTAAGTTTAGGGTGAAATAATAGAAAAATAATTTTATTATATCGCCCTTGAAATGAATGAAATTCTTTGAAAAAGTTACTTAAATGACTATAACTAATAATAAGGATAGATTATAAATTATAAGTGATAAATTATTTCTTATTTTCTCGAGCTAGACACGTAAAAAATGGATACTTTTTAGGTGTCATGATTTTCCTTTTTAGAACAGAAGCTTTAATTAATATTTTACGATTTATTTTTTTCATCATATTGTTATGCATAAATTGTAATTTATAGTACTTTCTATATAGTTTTTTGATATCGAATTTTTAGCTCAAAATATCAAATTAATATAATCTAATTTAACTTTGAAAATTAGTCAAATTGCTTTCGAAAAACACAATATCACAACTAAAGATGATGGAGGGAGTATTTTTATTTTAATATACTTCCTCTGTCTCTAATTATTTGTTCACTTTTAAACTGACATATCTACTAAAAAACATGATTGACATAGTGAGTTAAATCATTTAATCCCTATTAATTATGATGGATAAAAAATTTAAGATTTTTTTAAAAAAAATTAAATTTTTTAAAATAATTAATTAAGAGTATAATAAGTAAAAATTATCAAAATAGACAAGTAATTAGAGAAAACTAAAAAAAAAAGGTAGACTAATAATTAAGAAAATAAAAATTGTATTTAAATAAGTGGAAAAGGAGTAATTTATTGATGTGTATAAATAGATCATTTTATAAGTAGTTATTCTAAGCTAACTTTATTTATTACTGAAGGGTTGAAACATTAAATGAATTTGGTATACAAATTATATGTGAACATTAAATTCAGGTGTGCTACAATAAGTTTTGTTGGTTGTTTTCTCATAAGAATTGTTGTGGGAAATAAATGAACCTTTGACTCACCCCTTCCTCGGCATACGTATATTCGGATGTTACGAGATACTGCTTCGTAAGATTTTTATTATATTTTAAAATAAAATATAAATATTAGCATTTTTTAGCGAATTCAGTGGGTTCTTTCTCTTCAAGATGTTAGAAGTTTAATTATTATAGGTGTAAAAAATATTGGTGAAACATGTCGAAAATCTTATAAATTAAATTTACCAATAAATTTTATTTTAATACTCAAACTATATTTTATTTTAATTGAGTATCTGAGTATATGAAATAGTACTTCTATTAAACAATTTGGACTTGAATTTTGAAATAGTTTTTGTACATATTTTCAAAAGCATATTATTTAGATAAGTTAATCATATAAAATATGTCACTTTCTATTATTATATAAATCAATCTCAATTAAAACAAACTTGAGATTTTACGACTTATTAAGGCTAATACATATAGTTGAAAAAAGTGAAATATTTTAAATGATTTACTTTCCAATGTAATGAGTGTTTGAGAATACCGCATAAAAACTTTTTCAAAATTTGAATCGAAAATATATAATAAAAGCATTTTATCATATATTCAAAGTGCAAAAATAAATCGATTAATGGGTTTCTTTTGAAATTACTTTAAGCCCATCAATTATGGGCCAATTACAAAAGGCAAAGCCCAATTTCATTGGGAGCAGAAGAATTTGTTCAAAACCCTACCTACATATAGGCCCAGATTAAAAGTACTCACTACTCAGCGAGGGGTCATTTGGTATAGTGTATGAGCAAAAATAACGAATATATTAACTTTGTATATGAATAATATTTCATTTGGTATATTTTCTCATTCTATTGTGTATCAAGGTGTATATTAATATTATATATTTCAACGTATTAGTAACACAATGAAATTTAATGCATGCATTAGCATGACTGGAGACTTCATTGCCTCTAAAAATCTTTATTACATCTTTTTTCACCATAATTGTGAGGTGTAATTTTGTAAATAAATATTTTTTATATAATACATACAATATTTAATACACCAAATCAAACAATGCGTAAAAAATAATATATATATTATTAATGTAGGCATTATTAATATAATCATTACCAATACATTCTATTAATGCTCAGATAATTTTACGTGAAGTTCATGCATATATAAGTTAAGTTCAAGCATTTATGTCTGAACTTTAATTGGTTTTTATATAATTTTAATCATCACATGATTGAAATTGTGCAAAAATGGATAGATGTGCTAAAAAGGCTAAAATATGTAAAAAAAAAATTTTTAAAAAATAGTTTTGTCCATAAGAATACCCCAAGAAATATTTACTAAATTATTAGTGATTTTTTTTTTACTAGGAGCTAGTGATAGGATTAAGAATAAGGATATTCAAAATAAACTTAGAATGATTTTTTCGAAGGACAAGATGAGGAAAAGAGGTCTGTCGAAATGGTTTGCACATGTAAAAATGAGATGTGTGTATGCCCCAATTCGGAGTGGTGAGAGGTAAGATATATTGAGGAGAGGTGATAGACAGGATATGACACATCTTTAACTTGCCGCGGACATGACATTAATGAGAGTAGAAGGTTAGTAGGTAGTCCAACATTATTTTAGTAGCATATTAAAGTAATCTTAGGCTTAACATTAGTCTCGATCCCATGTTTGTTGTCGTATTAACCTACTCATACCGTCTTTAACTTTTGATATATATTACTAACGTATTTTACTACACCTTGCAGTTGATATTACAATTCCTTTACATATTTATACATAAAATAATATATAAATTCTCTCATAACTAATCATTATATTACTAATACTTATATAACTCTGATCAGCTATCGAACGAAGCGGATAATCAAATATATTTAAAATGATTCTTTAACGCGTAACTCGATGTTGTGTGGGTGGGCCATTATTATGTTATTGGGCTCCACAAAAGTAGGCCCAAAAATTACACTTTAACTTGGAATCCCAAGTGGTAGTTGCAGCTAAAACCATTAAAAAATAACCACCACCTAGTTTTAGGTAGTGACATTGATTTGACACACCATAAGGATATTATTCGCGCTCCGCTTTAATTTATTTGTCTCATTTTTAATTTTATAAGAAGTTTATAAAATTAAAAGAAAATTTGAATCTTGTCATCTTAAATTCAAAAATATGTTAAATGTATTGAAATCAATCTTTATTTTGATAGTTTTAAATTCTTTTGTGAAAGAAAAAGCGACATATTCCTTAAAAACAGATTTTAAAAAACAAAATAAACAAATTGAAACGAGTAAAATTAAATAATTGGTGAATAACTATTTAAATTACTTTTATTTTTTTAATGAATCGTGATATTTATACTATTAATTTATCCATACTTTAACTAATTTCACGCGATATTTATTACATACATATTAGATTATCATTTTGTGTCATTATAATGAGCCATCAGACAAGTCATTATGATACTTTAATTTTATGGGGTCAAGAAGCTAGAGAAGTCAGCACAAGTCTTAATTATAAGACTAGCTATTTATTGAATCATTTTAAGGAAAAAATAAAAGTTGTTGTGAACAAAAAGATCACATTAAAGTTAAAACTAGAATCAACAACCATTATGATTAAGTGACAAAATATAAAATATATATATATATATATATATATATATA